ACATCAACACCATTAGTGAGTTCCGGCTCCCAGACGAAGGTCGACTCACAGAACAGGGACCCGGCTATACCTTCTTCTGGAAGGGTAAGCCTGTTGTGGAGAGAAACCACATTGACGGAGTTGGCTTTGCCAGTCGCCAACCCCTTCTACATAGTCTAACTGAAATGCCTATTGGGATCAACGAGCGCCTCATGACACTTCGGGTCCCACTGAATCACTCACGTCATGCCTTTTTCATCAGTGCATACGCCCCAACACTGGATGCAGAGGATGGCATCAAGGAGGCCTTTTACGCCGACCTTGACAAAGTGCTAACCTCTGTCCCCAGTGAAGATGAGGTTTGTGCTCCGAGGCGACTTTAATACCAGAGTTGGAAGGGATGCTGACATTTGGCAGGGGATCACAGGGATAAACAGAGTAGACAAGTGTTATCCCAACGGCTAACTCCATCTCAGCAAGTGTGCTGAACACAACTCACTATTACCAATACCGTGCTGAAAAGTTCAAGGGTTCTTGGCAACACCCACGATGCAAACATTTGCATCTCATTGACTAAGTCATTGTCAGAGAAAGAAATCACTGAGATGTCCTCATCACCCGAGCCATGCATGGCTCAGACCACTGACGCAGTTCACCGGCTCGTCAGAGCCAAACTCTCCCTTCACGTCGCTCCAAAACGGCGAAGGCAACAAGCCTTCTGAAGAGGTTTTAACACTAAGTGACTAGAGGATCCTTCGGTAACACATGCTTTTAGCTCAACGATGGGCTGATAAGCAATCCAACAACAAACAACCAAAATAATAATGCCAAATGACATCCCATGAAAGCTGTCATCACAAAAACCTGCAACAAAACACCAGGATTGGTTTGATTAAAACGACCCGAAAATCGAAGTTCTCGTCAATTGTGTCAATAGTAAATTTACTTCTGTCACTGAAGGGCAGAACAGCCCCAAGTCTCTGACCAAAGCTGATACCTTCTGCTAGAAGAAAGTGGCGGTCCAGCGCGGAATTCGCAATCTAATGAACGAATTGTGGAAATATATGGTGGAAAAATATAGAAAGTGAAATGCAAAAAAAATCAGATCAACACAAGATGAGTGAATTTTCAAATCAGCTTAAACAATATATGGCCCAACTACTTCTGGCGTGCCCCCTTTCCCCTCCACTCATCTGACGGTAACCCTCTAATTAAACACAAAAAACGGCATCCATCAGCGCTGGAATGAACGCTCCCATTCGCTGCTCAACCTAAACACTGATGTGGATGTCCCTCAGCATCCAGAGCCGACCCACCTCAGCTATCCTCCATTCCTGGATTAGGTAGCTACTGCATCAAGCAGATGAAATATAACAAAGCCTCAGGGTCTGATGGAATCCCAGCCGAGGAGTATGAAGCAGGGGGACCTTTGCTAACCAGCCGTCTCCACCCTTTCCTGGAGAATATACGAGTGAAGTAGGAAATCCCTTAAGATCTTAAAGACGCCTCCATCGTCAATGTTTATAAGAACAAGGGAGACCGGTCAGACTGTGGCAACAACCGCAGGATCTCGCTGCTTTCCGTAGCTGGTAAGATTATCGCCCGAGTTCTCCGAAACAGACTTCTTCCTGAGGCGGAAAACTTCCTCCCAGAATCACAATTTGGCTTTAGAACAATCACGTGGCACCACTGACATGATCTTTTCTGTCCGCCAGATACAGGAAAAGTGCAGAGAACAGCGTCGTGACTTGTACATGGCCTTCTTTCATCTTATTAAGGCCTTCGACTTGGTCAACGGGGAATCTCTCTGGTGGACCCTCGCTCGTTTTGGAGGCCCACCAAAAATCATTGCCATTGTGAGGCCTCCACGATGGCATGAGCGGCAGTGTTCTGCACAATGGCACCCAGTCTGAGTTCTTCCCCATCCAAATGAGGGGTAAAAAGAGGATGTGTACTGGGCACCAACTCTCTTTTCCATTTTCTTGACTGCCTTCCTTACTCTTGGCAGTGCTAATTTAGCCAGCGGGGTGGACATCCAGTACCGTATGAAGGGACTTTTGAACATAAGACGACTTCAAGCAGCTGCTTTCATCACTGAACTTTATTATGAAGACGACCTCACCTTCGTCACTCACACTGAACGCGACTTTCAGAAGATTGTAAACACCTATGTAGATGAGTATGCACACTTCAGCCTTGAGGTGAATGTGTGCAAGACTCTGATTCTCTTTTAGCCTGCTCCTGATTCAACCACACCTCCACCATCCATCTAGATTAACGGTACTACCCCCACTAATGTTACCCACTTTCAGTACCTTGGCTCCCACCGGTCCACCACCACGGACATCGATGAAAAGATTCAACATCAGATATGATGCACATTTCAAGCATTGGCAAACTCCATAGCCGTGTCCAGCTGTAGGGAGCTGAAATTATCTACAAAATTGCACGTGCATCAAGCAGTGGTCGTCCCCAGCCCGCTGTATAGCAGCAAGACATGGGTCACATACAGGAGGCACCTCAAAGCACTTGAAAACTTTCACCAACGTAGACTACGTTCCATCCTCCGAGTTTGCTGGGAAGACAAGAGAACAGATTCCAGTATTCTCGCTCTCACCAACGGTAGGAGCATCGAGGCTACCATTATCCACAAACAACTACTCTGGATTGGCCATGTTACCTGCATGGACGACAGTAGAAGGCCAAACCAGCTACTTTACAGCCACCTGAGGATTGGAAACATAACGCTGGCAGACAACGGAACAGGAAGAGAGTCTTAAGACAAACCTGAAAAAGTGCCAAATCGACCCCCTCATCTGGGACACAATCATGTCACACCGTAAAGCTTAGAGGAGCATCACACAAGAAGGTGTCAATACTTTCGAATTAGTTCGACTGCAAACCGAGGCAGACAAGCGCCAGCGCCGGAAAGACGCTGCCGCCGCCCCTCCCACACAAGATGTGCAACATCTGTGGACGACCCTGCCGATCCCATATAGGCCTCTCGAGTCACCTCAGAGCTCACCAAGGAAGGTGCCATCATTATATTTGTCATTATATCATAGGGGATGCAAACAGAGAGACCAAATAACAGATAAAAAACGATGATATTAGAGAAATCCAACTGTGGGAAAGATTTAGGGGTAATGATAATAATTAATAATCTTAAACCAAGACAACAATGCGTATTTGCTCGAAACAAGGCTAACAAAGTACTTGGGTTCATACAATGGAGTATTAATTACAAGACTAGTGAAGTTATCCTAAAACTATATCGTGCACTTGTGAGACCTCACTTGGATTGTGCAGCTCAGTTTTGGTCACCGTACTATAGAATGGATATCGAATCCGTGGAAAGCATACAGAGGAGGAGGAGGAGGAGGGCAAGACTAATCCCGGGTATTAGGAACCTTGAGTACAGAGACAGGTTAATTTGCTCTCCCTCGAGAGACGTAGAGTGAGGGGCGATTGATCGAGGTGTATAAATGGAACTCGGGGCTAAACAAAGGTGATATGACATAGGTACTTAAATTAACCAAGTAGAAACGAACTTGTAGCGATGGTTTTAAATTAAACAAATTTAGATTTAGGCCCGAGAGAGGTAAACATTGGTTTGGAAATAGAGTAGTGGGTGAGTGGAACAAGTTACAATGTATCATCATTAACTCGAACACTTTGGATATTTTCATATACCTGTATAGGTTGTAGTGATATATGAACGATAGGGGTTGGGTGTAAACTGGACTGCCTAGTATGGGCCAATAGGCCCACTGCAGTCTCTTCCATTCTTATATTCAAAACCGATTTTGCCAGAACAAAGCAATGCCACCTTACTCTCTCTCACCTTCCGCCCCGTATTGAAGCCCCCCACTCTCTCAATTCAGATTTCCCGCATAAAGTAATAGGATGAAAATATATCCCATCATGTTTTCGACCACGTTTCATCTCAACACGTTTATCTTATGTCTACTGCATGTATCAGTCATTTCAAAGATAAGTCACAGAATCTTACGCCTATTACCGGTAAGATTCAGTGTGTGTGTGTGGCCCAACTGGTGCCTACCTTGAGAACATGTCGCTGCAAAGCGTATTATTTTAAACATCGTAGGCCATAGTCATAAGGTTGGAATTGTCCAACAGTTGATTTGGGTTAACGTTCTCCTAATGTGTCTGGTTTCTATGGAGGACAGCTGGTTATTTAACACATGCCAATGTAATAATAAATTTTATATTGTATACATACAAGACTCCTGCCCTTATATGCATTATTACACTGGTAAAAAAAAATGGGCTGCTTAGCCACATGAACCTATTGACCATTTAAAAGTTTAATAAAAATCAGTGGGGGGCCTTCGCCGACTTGACCACCGGGCTACCCCCCCCCCCACACTTGTTGACGTAGGTGGGTATCCACCACCACCACCAGACGATTAAAATGCATGCAAGCTACTCCCTACCCCCTCGTGGCCTCTCTATTTCTATGTTATTAATCTCCTGTTCCCTTCCTCAGTATATTTAGATCATGTCTAAACCTTGTAATTAATAGAACTAAATGTAGTTAAGCCAAATACATGCTGCCCTTATACGTCATATAATCATATGCCGTCTGATTTGCTTTTTTGTCTTACTCGGGTTGGAGCCCTCAACAAAATTTCCTTATCATACATATACAAATGATCTTGCTAACAAGTTGATGCATTACATGACGTCATTAATGACAGGTTTGATATATAAAACTATAAAAAATTGCATGTAAAAAATAATAACACCTACATAATGCTGGTAATTGCGTGTTAACGATTCTTCCCATGTTTATTTCTGTCGACTCGTCACACGGCTCCACCTACTGAAACACTCCCGGCAACTCGACAAGACGCTGTGTTGTTTACGCTGCCATCTCGTGGTTGAACATAAAAACTGAGCCAGAAACTACCAAGGTTCGGCAGTACGCTCCAGCAGCTCAATCTCGCTGCTGAGGTCGCGAACTTTTCAATATGACTGTACTAGCAAATGACACTCACCTAGGATATAGGCAGAAGAAGGAGTATATAGAGACGAGGGCTCCCAGTAGCAGGGCCACGTTGATTAGTTTCCTTGCCATGGTACGTGCCACGCAACACCACCTGTGACACCTCTGATACTGCACCACCTGTCACAGAAACAAACAGTCTTAGTAATACTATCATTATATAACATATAATCACAAGGTCATCCGCGTTTGTTTATGCCAATGCATTCTGGGTAACACATGATGGGTCGGTCCCGTCATCCTTATTTTTATTCCGCTTGAATTACAAGAAACTATACCCTTTCCACTCTAACCTGGCCAGTAAGTCCCGCCCCTCGTCTATAGCCACAAATAGCTGATTGGTTTCCCTGAGCGTCTTCCCTTCCCCCGGATTGCATGTATACAAGCGCGTGTTTATATCGACATTTATGATAAATATTTCAAGTTTCTAACATCCTCTCTAAGTGCTAATGCCTTGAAATAAGTTGCATTTGGTAGTTCAGATAATTATTTAACATTATATTACATCATAACACATCTGCTTACCAATTATGAACACATTTAGTTTGAATTTTCTACAAATCAATCAGCTATTAGTATAGAAAAGGGCGGCCACCCCCACACACCAGGGCTACCACCCACACACCAGGGCCACCCCCACACACCAGGGCCACCCCCACACACCAGGGCCACACACCCACACACCAGGGCTACACACCCACACACCAGGGCCACACCCACACACCAGGGCCACCCCCACACACCAGGGCCACCCCCACACACCAGGGCCACACCCACACACCAGGGCTACCACCCACACACCAGGGCCACCCCCACACACCACAACAACCACCCAGGGGGCGCCGGTGGTAGAACGGTACCGCTCTTGCCTCGCAAGTGAGATGTCAAGGGTTCGATTCCCAGGACGGTGGAAAGTTGTTTGGACACACTTCCTAGCTCCCTTGGTCCCTGTTCACCTAGCAGCAAAGTAGGTACCTGTTGTAAATCGAAAAGTTGCGAATTCGTATTCAGGGAAAGTTGCTGGAGCTTCCAATAACTTGCTTAGACATAAAACCACTGACTCTTCAGGCCTCTACGCCCTTGACAAAAATCTATGACCCTTCAGGCTTTTATGCCCTTAACTCATGAGACGTAAAGGCAAGCATGGACTTAGCATGCTTCCCAGATGGGCGCTGTAAACGCTTCTGCACTTCACCTTGCACAGGATGTAAGAGAGAGCAAAAAAAAAAGAAAAAAAAAACACACTAAAGGGCTATCCCAAAGACCAGGGCTACCCCCACACACCACACCAGGGCTGCCCCCCCACACACAAGGGGTACCACCCACACATCAGGGTTACCCCCACACACTAGGGCTGCCACCCACACACCAGGCTACCCCCCCACATACCAGCTACTACTACTATTACTTTCCTGTCACTCGGAATCGAGCATGACGATCATCCAGCTATGATACAATGATATGAGTTATTAAGGATGTCACCCAGGTTGGTGAGTGAGGTGACTAAAGAGGCCGATACGGGACCAGCAGAGTTGTTTACAGATGTTGCACATGTGGAGGGTTACATCTAGTGTGGGAGAGGAGTGGCAGCGTCTTTCTGGTGTTGGCGCTTGTCTGCCTAGGTTTGCAGTCAGGCTAAATCGAAAGTATTGACACCCTGTTTGGTGCTCCTCCAAGCGTTACGATGTGGAGTAATTGTCTCCCAGGTGAGGGGGGGATAGATTTGGCATTTTTTCAGGTTTGTCTTTAGACTATCCTTATACCTTTCAATTGCCCTCCGGCATTACGTTTAGTATTCGTTAGGTGACTGTAAAGTAGCTGCTTTCGCAGTCTACTGTCGTCCATGTGGGTAACATGGCCAGTCCAGCATAGTTGTTCCTGGATAATGGTAGTCTCCATGCTCCTACGGATGGTGTCAGCAAGAATACTGGCATTTCTTCTCTTGTCTTCCCCGCGAACTCGGAGGATGGAACGTAGACTACGTTGGTGAAAGTTTGCAAGTGCCTTGAGGCGTCTCCTGTATGTGAACCAAGTCTCACTGCCATACAATAGGGTGGGCAGGACCACTGCTCGATATAAGTGAAACTTTTTAGTTAATTTCAGCTCCCTACAGCTGAAGACACGGTTTTGGAATCTGCCAAAGGCTTGAGATGCACATCTGACCCGATGTTGAATCTTTTTATCGATGTCCGCGGTGGTGGACAGGTGGGAGCCGAGATACCGAAAGTGGGTAACATTAGAGAGGGTAGTACCATTAAGCTGGATGGATGGTGGAGGTGTGTCTGAACCAGGGGTAGATTGAAAGAGAATCTGAGTCTTACTTACGTACATTCACCTGAAGGCCGAAGTGTGCATACACATCTGCGTAGGTGTTCAAGAAATCCTGTAGGTCGCGTTCAGTGTGAGCAACAAGGGTGAGGTCGTCTGCATACTGAAGGTCAGTAATGGAAGCTGCCGACACCTTTGTTCTTGCCTGGAGTCGTCTTATATTGATTGGCACTGGCACGAGTAAGGAAGGCAGCCAAGAAAATGAAAAAGAGAGTTGTTGCCAGTACACACCCTTGTTTGACCTCCGTTTGGATAGGGAAGAACTCAGACTGGGTGCAATTGTGCAGCATACTGCCGTTCATGCCATCGTGAAGTTGCCTTACAATGGCGATGAATTTTGGTGTGCAGCCAAAACGCCTCAGGGTCCATCAGAGGGCTTTCCTGTTATCCGAGTCTAAGATCTTGGTTAGGTCGATGAAAACCATGTGCAGGTCTCGACACTGTTCTCTGCACTTTTCCTGTGTCTGACGGGCAGCAAATATCATGTCAGTGGTGCCACGTGATGGTTTAGACTAAATCCACATTGAGATTCTAGGAGGAAGTTTTCCGCTTCAGGAAGAAGTCGGTTTAGGAGGAATCGGGCGATAATCTTGCCAGCTACGGACAGCAGCGATATCCCGCCATAGTTGCCTTAGTCTGACCGGTCTCCCTTGTTCTTATAAATATTGACGATGGAGGCGTCTTGAAGAGCTTGGGGATTTCTTCCTTTTTCCATGTATTCTCCGGGAGAAAGTGGAGACGGCTGGTAAACAAAGGTCCTCATGCTTTATATACCTTAGCTGGGATTGCATCAGGCCCTGAGGCTTTGTTATTTTTCATATGTTTGATGGCAGGAGCTACCTCATCCAGGGATGGAAGATAACTGAGGTGGGTCAGCTCTGGATGCTGAGGGACCTTCTGGGTAGTCAAGACATCCACACCGGTGTTTCTGTTACCATTGGATAAGTGGAGGGGGCTGTGCCACGAGTGATTGGCCCATAAAATGTTTTAGTGAAATTGAAAAATTCGCGCATCTTGTGCTCATCCGCAAATGTTTGTGTTTTGCATGCTTTATTTTTAAACCAGTCGTTCTTTAGATTGCGAAGTTCTCGCTGGGCCGCCGGTATATTCTTGCGGAAGGTATCAGCTTTGGTCCGAGATTGAGGGTTGTTCTGCCAGTCAGTTAAAGCAGCACATTTATCAAAGGACGAGTATATTGATTGCCGGGTCATTTTCATCAAACCAGTCCTGGTGTATTCTTTCGATCTGGCCGAGGGTTTCTCTGCAGGATTTTGTCATGACAGTGTCGAGAATATCTCATTCTGCACTGGGATTTGGGTTGTTTGTTGTCGGGTTGTTTATCAGCCCATGTTCGAGCTGCTCTCTCAAAGCAGGAGCCACCGCTGGATCCTCCAGACGCATAGTGCTAAAACTCTTCTGGAGGCTTGCTGCCTTCGCCGTTTTGGGGCGACGTGAAGTACGAGCTTGGCCCTGACGAGCCAAAAATCAGTGTTGCAGTGGTCTGAGCCACGCATGGCAAGGGTTATGAAGACATTTCGGCGATCTCTTTCTCTGACGATGATGTAGTCATTGAGATGCCATTGTTTGGATCGTGGGTGTTGCAACGAACCCTTGAACTTGTCGGCCTGCCTAAACAAGATACTGGTGATAGTGAGGTTGTGTGCAGCACACATGCCGAGGAGGAGTAGGCCGTTGGGATTGCACTTGCCTAGTTCATTTCTGCCTGTGGTTCCCTGCCATATGTCAGCATCTCTGCCAACTCTGGCATTGAAGTCACCAAGGAGCACAACCTTATCTTCTCTTTGGATAGAGATTAGCACTCTGTCGTGTTAGGTGTAAAATGCCTCCTTGATGTCATTCTCTGCATCCAATGTTGGGGCGTATGCACACACACACACACACACACACACACACACACACACACACACACACACACACACACACACACTCACTATGCAACAGTATTCCTGGTCAACACTAGACGGAAGCAGCAGGTGTGAGCCAAAAAGCGGAACACACTACAATAGCAGCGTGACGTTGAGGCCAACAACGACCCCTCGGCTGTAACTGACCCAGGGGTAAAATGTTGGTCACTGTCTTCTCTAAATTCAGTTGTAAATTAGTTCAGGTGGCCTCCATCCTCACGTCAGGTGAAGCTCTGTAATTCCAGAGATTCTGATAATTTGGTGCAGTATATTTAACGAAATGTTTAGTCTATAAAGAGTAACATTCTGCTGTACTGTAATATACATTAAAACTACTGTTGTTTTTTCATTCATTGTTGTAATCGTGGTGTTGTGTTTTGGTTGTGTGGTGTGATCGTCTTCACTTGTAAGTTACTTCTGTATCAGTAGAATAAAACTGCTATGTGATAGACTTTGGAGGTTGTGTTTTAAATAATAAAAAGTCGCCCTGTGTATTGTAGATTCTAATGGTCACTCACTGCCTGGTGGTCTCCATCCTAAACCCGGATTTGCCCAGGGTTTCGACAAATAGTTGCCTAGTCCAGGGGCCTCACAATCCTATTACCCATGAGCCCTTCAGTCCAACCGTCCTGGGGCTCCACAGTCTTACTGCCAGGGGATCCACAGTCCTACTGCCCAGGGGGATCCACAGTCCTACTGCCCAGGGGACCGCACAGTCCTACTGCCCAGGGGGCCCCACAGTCCTACTGCCCAGGGGGCCCCACAGTCCTACTGCCCAGGGGGGCCCCACAGTCCTACTGCCCAGGGGACCCCATAGTGCTACCGCTCTGGGGCACCACACTCCTACTGCCCAGGAGGTCCCACATTCCTACTGCCCAGGGGGCCTCAGCCCTACTGCCCAGGGGGCCTCATAGTCCTACTGCCCAGGAGAATCACAGTTATGCTGCCCAGGGTCCCACAGTTTTACTGCCCAGGGCCCCACAGTTCTACTGCCCAGAGGCCCCACAGTCCTACTGCTCAGGAGCCCTACAGTTCTACTGCCCAGGGGCCCCACAGTCCTACTGCCCAGGGCCCACAGTCCACTGGAGCCCCCACTCAGCCCACAGGGTCTACTGCCCAGAGTCCTACTGCTCAGAGTCCCACAGTCCTACTGCCCAGAGGCCCCACAGTCCCTGCTCAGGGGTCCCACAGTCATACTGCCCAGGGTCCCACAGTTCTACTGCCCAGGGGCCCCACAGTGGCCCCAGTCCTACTGCTCAGGAGTCCCACAGGTCTACTGCCCAGAGGCCCTGAGTCCTACTGCTCAGGAGTCCCACAGTCCTACTGCCCAGAGGCCCCACAGTCCTACTGCTCAGGAGTCCCACAGTCATACTGCCCAGGGGCCCCACAGTCCTACTGCCCAGGGGCCCCACAGTTCTACTGCCCAGAGGCCCCACAGTCCTACTGCTCAGGAGTCCCACAGTCCTACTGCCCAGGGGTCCCACAGTTCTACTGCCCAGGGGCCCCACAGTTCTACTGCCCAGAGGCCCCACAGTCCTACTGCTCAGGAGTCCCACAGTCCTACTGCCCAGAGGCCCCACAGTCCTACTGCTCAGGAGTCCCACAGTCATACTGCCCAGGGGCCCCACAGTCCTACTGCCCAGGGGCCCCACAGTTCTACTGCCCAGAGGCCCCACAGGTCTACTGTCCAGAGGCCCCAGTGTTGTAAATGTATGTCACTTATGTATAATTACCACTTAATAAATACAAATACCTTGGTGTCTGGTCGAGGTGTTGTGTTTAAAAACGTTTTTGACGTATTTTAGACAATTGAATTTTTTTCAAGAATATTGTACTGAATGAAAGAAAACAATACTGGTTAAATAGTTTTGTCCTTTGTCCTGTTTAAAAGAATTATCGTGGGTAAGTAAATGAATAAGGTAATGGGTAAATGAATATTTCACTTTTTCAGGGAACATTTTACAGTGTAAGAAAACAGTGTCCTGTGTTACAGAATAATTGATCTGTGTAGAAAACCTCTCTTGATGTTTGAGTGCTGTGTTTTTCATCATGATATAACAACATGTCTAAAAAAGCATAATGTGTTTTGAGGCTGCTTTATGTTTTATTACGCTGGGCGAGTAATTGTAGTATCGTCTGTGTGATCAGAACAACATAAGCAACTACATATGAGAGAGAGAGAGAGAGAGAGAGAGAGAGAGAGAGAGAGAGAGAGGAACTAATCTCCTCATCTCCGCAACAATAAAGAATAAAGTCACACTTTACTCCCATATGTTATTTACTTGAGCCATATTTTCCCTAGCCTGGAAGGAAGGGGCGATATTGCAATGACTTTGTCTTTATTGGATTATTATCTAACTGTGTGTCTGTCTACCTGTCTGTTTTATGTATTGTACCTAAGGCTCATTCTAATTAGATAATATGTAGTCCTTTTTATTCATGTGCGTCAAATAGATATACCGGCTAGCTATTGTTTGTGTATGAGATGACTGATCACACACACACACACACACACACTACCACTACTACTACTACTTTGCTGTCACTCGAAATCGAGTATGACGATCATCCAGCTATCATACAAAGATATGAGTTATTAAGAATGTCACCTTCGTTGGTGAGTTCTGAGGTGACTGAACCGGTTGGTTAATTACAAGTTAACCGGGTTGGTACACATTTATTATATTGGGCTTTAGTAACGAAACCCAATTGAAGTTTCTTCTTTTATTAAAAAGTATTATTTGTATAATTCCTGAGTGTAGATCAACCGTAAGTTCTACTATTTATGAGTGTGGTGACAAAGGGATGGCGTCTATGTAACTAGACGTGAATCAACGTCCGTTCGATATTAGTTGGTGAGTAAGACTTTGAGTAGTGGCCCATCGAAGGAGAAAGGAATAGGTACGTCGCCCTCCCTCGAGGGAAGACCGAGCCATCCACTGCAGCTCTCAAATAAAGTCTTCCTCTAGTCTAGGATATTAAGCTACTGCCCGCTTTAGGTGGCCAGGAGCCGGCTACTTATGCCTTTGCTCAGCATAGTATGACGCAGCTTCCCGTAGGCACACCTTATCACGTGCATTGAACATGTCACCTCATAGCCAGTGGAAAGTTACAGGGGATGAATCAGTATATAAATCAAATGTAATTAACCCATATATATATATATATATATATATATATATATATATATATATATATATATATATATATATATATATATATATATATATATATATATATATATATATATATATATATATATATATATATGTCTTATGTTTATGAAACATGGGCAATTACATGACTAAAGAGGCCGATACGGGACCGGCAGTGCCGTCCACAGATGTTGTGTGGAGGGCTACATCTAGCAGTGTCTTTCAGGCATTGGCGCTTGTCTGCCTCGGTATTCAGTCGGGCTAACTCGAAAGTATTGACACCGTCTTTTGTGGTGCTCTTCCAAGCATTATGGTGTGGAGTAATTGTCTCCCAGGTGAGGGGGTCGATTTGGCACTTTTTCAGGTTTGCTTTAAGACTATCCTTATACCTTTTCAGTTGCCCGCCAGCATTCCGTTTACTATTTGTTGGGGTTAGGTGACTGTAAAGTAGCTGCTTTGGCTGTCTACTATGGTCCCTGCGGGTAACATAGACAGTCCAACGTAGTTGTTCAAGGTTAATGGTAGCCTCGCTGCTCTTACAGTTGGTGTAAAGCGAGAATACTGGTATTTGTTCTCTTGTTTTCCCAGAGAACTCGGAGGATGGAACACAAACTATGTTGGTGAAGTTTTCAAGTGCTTTGAGGTGCCTCCTGTATATGACCAATGTCACGCTGCCATATAGCAGGATGGGGAGGACCGCTGCTCGATATACGTGCAGCTTTGTAGATACGGGTACGAAATTTGCCAAAGGCTTGAGATGCACATCTGATATGATGTTGAATCCCTTCATCGATGTCTGCTTTGGTGGACAGGTGGAAGCCGAGATACCGAAAGTGGGTAACACTAAAGAGGGTAGTACCGTTAAGCTGGATGGGTGGTGGAGGTGTGGCTGAACCAGGGGCAGGCTAAAAGAAATCTGAGTCTTACGTACGTTCACCTCAAGGCTGAAATGTGCATACGTATTTGCGTAGGTGTACAGGATCTGCTATAGGCCGCATTCACTGTGAGCGACAAGGGTGAGGTCGTCTGCATACTGAAGTTCAGTATTAGAAGCTGCCGACACCCTTGTTCCTGCCTGGAGTCGTCGTCCTATGTTGAAAAGACCCTTCATTCGGTACTCAGATTTTCTTTCAGCCTGGCCCTGGTTCAGCCTATATGTTATCCCGCTGGGGCACACACACACACACACACACACACACACACACACACACACACACACACACACACACACACACACCTCTCAGTCAAAATACTGTACAAACTGGTTCAACAGGAATAATATCTAAATAACATAGTAAGTGTAGAATTACTACAAGCTTAGGTCAGTGATATTTGATATTATTTCTCGTCACTGTTCTCTCTAGGTAGTTACGCTTTCTCCTAGATTTTTGTTTTAAGGAATTCATTTAATATCTTGCTTCTCGTGGTCCCTTCTCTTTATTTTAATCAAATAATTTCTGTCACTGTATCTCTGGAGATTTTCTTTGGTGCTTCCATTATTTTTCGTTTATGTCATATATTTTTTTCTTGTGTTCCGTTATTGGTGGTTATAATTCACAATATTAAAATGAGTCATCCGACGCACGCGTCTGTTTACCTCGTAAACAGTTGACAGGTCTCTGTGACACCTTGGAAAGGTTCGGCAGTTACACCATTAATTCTCGTTAGGTTTCATTTGTCATCGGCCAAGGCTAGCAAGGCACTTGTTTCTTAGACCGTACACAGTTATGTTAAACGTTATTCTCATGTGTGTATATGTCCGTGTCCTGCTGGATATATCAAGTCTTAACTCCTACAATTTATTCTTCCATGTACCTGTAATTTATATTTCGTTTAACTTATACCTAGACTATATTTGTGTATTCTTATTTTTCACGTGAGCAAGAGTCTCTTTCTGACACAACGTTCTGAGATTCGAAGTTTTTATAATTTGTGTTACGTACGGTTGCCTCAAGGAGGTGATTCACTACCCGTCACCTGCGGCTCCTACCAGGTGAGTCGTCACTTAGGATCCCAGTCATACTTTCAGCTCTAACAGCCTGGTAACATTCTCAGATCTTTCCAACAACGGCTTCTGAATTCCCTCTCGTGCATCGGGTTCACCAGTGAAGCGTCTTTCCCCGACCCGTAACACCATCCTTACTCTTGATTCTATTGGACTTTTACCTGTAGGGTCGTAATTCAGCTCGAGGTCACGAGTGGTCAATACTAAGATGCTGTGAATGTTACAAGATCCGCTTCATATGTTTGAATACTGTACAGGTGTAGTAGAGTAGTACACGACAGATAAGGAATGGGAAAGCGGAGGTGACAGAGGGGGATGAAGAGAAAAATAACAGGGGAAGATAGAGAGGAATAGCAGAGGAAGATGAAGAGAGGAATAGCAGAGGAAGATGAAGAGAGGAATAGCAGAGGAAGATGAAGAAAAGAATAACAGAGGAGGATGAAGAGACAAATGGCCATGGGATTGAAAAAAAAAATACGGGTAAAGTTTATATTGGGTGCGGGACAAGTCTGGCAGCGCTGTGGCCCACGAGACCCATAAATATTTGTATTGAATTATTGGGTGCGGGACAAGTCTGGCAGCGCTGTGGCCCACGAGACCCATAAATATTTGTATTGAATTGAAAGAGAGAGAGAGAGAGAGAGACAGAGAGAGAGAGAGAGAGACAGAGAGAGAGAGACAGAGAGGGAGAGAGAGAGAGAGAGAGAGAGAGAGAGAGAGAGAGAGAGAGAGAGAACAGTGGAAGATACGAGTGATAATGTTATCCTGGAAATGCGAGAGCGATGCAGAGTGATCCAATGAGATATCAGGGGATCAGATGGCGAAGTGGGTTATTGAAGACGTAGGAAAGAGGCGGAAAGAAGATGAAGGAGACACGTGGAGCAGGAAACAGGAGAGGAAGAGAGGGGGTTTCGAAGAGAGGCAGCAGATGGAGGAGGTATCAGAGAAACAGGGGAGGTATACCATCAAATATGTTGACTTTAAAAAAGCCTACGACACTGCCAAAATAGAAATAATATATATATATATATATATATATATATATATATATATATATATATATATATATATATATATATATATATATATATATATATATATATATATATATATATATATATATATATATATATATATATATATATTTTTTTTTTTTTTTTTTTTTTTTGACATTTAGTGTGTCAGGGGATGAAGTAAGATTAGTGGAAAGAAGTACAAACCACAACGGCCAGATTGATATTAGAGGAGTGTTGGGCTGAAGCAAGGGAGTGTTCTGAGGCCTTTCTTGTTTATTATGGTTATGTAGAATATCAAGGGAGAGGGAAATGCTCTGAAAGCTATTGTATATGGATGACCCGTTAGTGATGGGCGAAGGGAGACAACAGAAGTGTGATGAATCAATTTAGAGGAAGGATGAGTTTGGCGAACACGGAGGTCTTGTGCGTTAGTGGACAGCCTTAATTGAAGATACAAGTGACGGGAGGAGGATAGATTGGGATGAGGCGGATGTAAGAAGACTACAAACAGGAACAATGACATGAAGGAGAT